GCAGGGCTATCCATTGTGCTACCTAGCTGCCCCAAGAAGACATATCTTAAAGGCAACAAACCCTGTCATATCAGAGTTTATTGTTGGTTATATTAATTAGGGGACATGGTTTGCCTTTATTTATTTGCTTGTTTATTTATTTTAGGGGCAATTGGGGTTAAGTGAGTTGCCCAGGGTCACACAGCTAGCAAGTGTCTGAGGTCAGATTTGAACTCTGACCCTCCTGACTTCAAGGCTGGTGCTCTGCTGTGACACCTACCTGCTCCTGATTTGCCTTAATTTAAAAAAAAATCTATACATTATAAAAGGGTTGCCTGCACTTACTGAGTCTTTGCGTGTCTGAAATGGAGCCAAAAATGAACAGTAAAAAAAAAAATGTTTCTCACATGGTAGTGGAGAAGGATTAACCTTGTAGCCTATTTTGCTCGTCATGTAGTTAATTTAATGGCATTTTGATTTTAGGAGAAGTTTGAAGGGAATGTGTCATTTGATGAAGTTGTGTTCAACTACCCTATGCGACCTGACATTCCTGTGCTTCAAGGGCTGACTCTGGAGGTGAAGAAGGGTCAGACCCTGGCTCTTGTGGGCAGCAGTGGTTGTGGGAAGAGTACTGTGGTGCAACTTCTCGAGAGATTCTATGATCCCCTGGCTGGACTGGTGGTAAGTGGACTGTTCTCAGGACATCCTTTCCTATGAAACCATGCAATTGTGTGTCTCAATTCAAGGGTTCTCTCTTTCATCGAGCCAGCTTTCAGTGCCATGTTTTATAGCTGAAGACCTCTAATTCCCCACAGTCTCAGACTCACAAAATGGGAAAAGATCTTAAGAACCAAGATTTAGACCCTAGAGATCATCTAATCCAACCTCCTCATTTTATAGAGGAGGAAATGAAGGCTCCTGCTGTTAGAAATGACTTAGCCAGGTCACCCAAGTCATGAATTGGTGGCAGAGCCAGGGCTATTTCCAGTTCCGTGCTCTTTCTTCTTCACCATCAGTCTTGCTTCTCAAGATCATTTGGAGCCAGATCATCGGATGATTTGAGGGACAGGCCAGGAACTGTGGGGCATCTTGTATAGGACACTGGAGAGCTACTAAATGGCATTGCAAGAAGCATAAAGTGTACAAAGGAATGTTTTAAGGAGATTGGTCTGGCGACAAGTGTAGGAATAATTGGAAGGAGGTGAGACAAAAGACAAAGAAAGCAATTATGAAGTGATGAGGCACAGTTAGGATGTAGTCTTGAATTCAGTGAACATTGATTAAATCCCTTCAGTGATGAGAAGCAGTATGGCAGAGTGGGTAGAGCTCTGCCCCTGGAGTTACAAAGAGTCAGATTCAAGTTCTGCCTTTGAAATAGACTAGTTCAGAGGTTCTTAAATTTTATGTGTGTCATGGATTCCCTTCAGCCATCTGGTAAAGCCCATGGACCCCTTCTCAGAAGAATGTCTTTAAATGCATAAAGTAAAATGTGTCTTATTACAAAGGAAACGATTTTGAAATACAGTTGTTAAAATTTTTTTTTAAATGTTCATGGATCCCAGCTTAAGAACCCCTGTGCTAGCTCATACACTCTCTCTTCTGTATGAAACCTTTTCTGATTTCTCTCTCTACCTCCTGCCAACTATTTTTAGTGTTCTTCCTCCCTAAACCGTCTCACATTTATTTTTGTATTTATTCCACACATACACGTGTATATGTTGTCTTCCCCAGCTAAATGTAGGGGAAGACACATCTATAGGGTATATTTGGAAGCAAGGTATATTTCATTTTTGGCTTTTTATCCCCAGGGCTTTGCACATAGTAGGTGCTAAATAAATGCTTGTTGACTAGGTTTGTAGACTTGTCAACTAATTCATAGTATTTACGTGATATTTTATGTGATATAATTTGACATAAAGATCAAATGAGCTACCCATGGATGCCATCCTTTCCCTAGCCAAAAAAACTGACAGTGAGACATGAGAAAACCCAGGTACCATGATGTATCCATCAAGGTGTTGTGATCTGCAAAGTTGGGGACCGATGCCAAAGCACAATAAACATACTCACTATTTTCTTAAAGCTCTGTGCATGTGAGACCCCTGTTCAGTCAACTCCAGGAAACCAGGAAAGACGCTGTTATTCCAACAGACAGTAGTAAACTGGCAATTACTTAAGAATTCCATGCATAGGAGAAAGCTAGGTGGTGCAGTGGATAAAGCACCAGCTCTGAAATCAGGAGGACCTGGTTCAAATCCAGCCTCAGACACATGATACTTACTAGCTGTGTGACCATAGACAAGTCATTTAACCCTGATTGCCTCACCAAAAAAAAAATGTACATTTTTAAAAAGAGGGGGCAGCTAGGTGGCACGGTACATAGAGCACCTGCCCTGAAGTCAGAAGGACTTGAGTTAAAATCTGGCCTCAGACCAAACACGTGACACTTACTAGCTATGTGACCCTGGGCAAGTCACTTAACCGCAGTTGCCCCCCCCCAAAAAAAAAGAATTCCATGCATAAAATAAAATTACTAGTCTTAGAAAATTAAAAAAAAATCAGGCACAATTAATTGTGTTTGGACTTTCCAGGCTAATTACATGTTCCTTCCCTTCTCTCAATCTGCAATCTGCACTGCCCTTCTTAACTGTTCCTCAAAAATGATTCTCTGTCTTCTCTCCCTGTGCCATTGTAGTGTCTGTCTTCCATGCTTGGACACTTGCTTTTCTCATAGCCGTCTCTTGGAATTCCTACTTTCCTTCAGGATTCAGCTCAAGCAGCCTCATCTCCACGAAGCCCTTCCTAAAGTTGAACTTTTTTTCACCCTCCCACACAAAATTACTTTGTACCTATATTGTATGTAGCCTGTAAGGACTCATCCATGTGCATATAATCTGCTTCAGTAGAATGTAAGCTCCTCGAGGGCAGAAATAGTTTCATTTTTATCTTTGTAGACCTAGAGCCTAGCACAGTGTCTGGTACTTAGGAAGGGCTTAATAAATACTTGTTGATGAATTGGACTTTGCTTTCAGAAAGTTGATGGCCAAGATGTGAAGAAGCTGAATGTCCAGTGGCTCCGGGCTCAGCTTGGCATCGTGTCCCAGGAGCCCATCTTGTTTGACTGCAGCATTGCAGAGAACATCGCCTATGGAAACAACAGCCGGGTGGTATCACAGGAAGAGATTGTGAACGCAGCCAAAGCTGCCAACATCCATCCTTTCATTGAAACATTACCCAAAGTAAGTCATTTTCTTGCCCTCTAGAACCACAAAGAGACGCTGGTCTCCTACTGCCTCTGCTCTGCCATCTCTCTAGCAATAGGAAATTCATGTTCAGAAGACATAGCATCCTTTCCTACATTTAGTAAACACAATTTTATCATCTAAAAGGGGAGATCACATTTATATCATCATAGTCATGTGTGTTTTGTTTTCCTGGTTCTGTTCGCTTTATTTCATGTTGGCTCATATAAGCCTTCCCATGCTCTGTATTCATCATAGTCATTTTTTCTTACAGCACAGTAATGTTCCATTACATTCACATACCAGAAATTGTTTTGCCATTCCGCAATCTATGGGCATCTACTTGGAATACAATTCTTTGTTACTTCAAAAAATTATGCAATAAATATTTGATATAGAAAAATAAAATAAAAGGGAAGATCATTCATATATGAATATGGTATAACGGAATGAGCAATGGATTTAGAGCGAGAGGGCATGCATTCGCTTCCTGGCTCTACCAATTCAATGACCTTGGATGATGATGATAATAATAATAATAATAATAATAATAATGATAATAATAACAATAATAATAATTGGAACAACTAGGTGGGGCAGTGGATAAAATGCAGGCCCCGGAAGCTAACAATTCCATGAGACTTCAAGAAGCAGTAAAACAAAGTCAAAAGAATGGAAAAAAAATAGGAAAAATGTGATATATCTCATTGGAAAAACAACTAACCTAGAAAATATATTGAGGCGAGAACATTTAAGAATTATTGGACTACTTGAAAGCCATGATGAGAAAAAAAAAGAGCCTAGACATCATATTTCAAGAAGTTATCGAGAAAAACTGCCCTAACATTTTAGATCCAGAGGGTAAAGTAGAAATTGAAAGAATCCACTAATCAACTCCAGAAAGAGATCCCCACATGAAAACTCCCAAGAACATTGTAGCCAAATTCCAGAGTTCCTAGGTCAAGCAGAAAATATTGCAAGCTGGCAGAAAGAAACAATTCCAATATTATGGAGCCATAGTTAGGATCACACAAGATTGAGGATCAGAGGTCTTGAAATATATTCTGGAAGGCAAAGGAGCTAGGAATGTGGGGAATGGTACATAAGAATTTTATTATTATTAGGGCAGTTAAAAGGAGTTTACGTAGATAGAGGGCAAGGGTGTGAGTCAAACTGTGCATGCCTTTTAACCCAGCAATACCCCTACTAGGTCTGTATCCCAGAGATCAAAGAAAAAGGAAAAGGATTTATGTGTACAAAAATATTTATAGAAGCTTTTTTTGGCTGCAAAGAATTGGAAATCGAGGGGATGCTCATCAGTTGGTGAATGACTGAACAAGCTGTAGTATATGATTGTGATGGAGTACTATTGTGTTATGAGAATTCATGAGAGGAGTGATTTCAGAAAAACATGGCAAGACCGATATGAAAGAGGTGAGAGAACCAGGAGATCATTGTGCGCAGTAATAGCTATGTTGTAACGATGATCAGCTGTGACAGACTTGGCTCCTCTGATCAATACAATGATTAAGACAATTCCAGAGGACTGGTGATGAAAAAATGCTATCCACCTCCAGAGAGAGAATTGATGAACTCTGAGCGCACATTGAAGTATCATTTTCTCATTTCCCTAATTTTTTTTTCCTTTTTTGTGATATGGAAATGTGTTTTGCATGCTTGCACTGTATAATTGATATCATTTTGCTTGTCTTCTCAGTGGGTGGGGGAGGGTGGTTGGGAAGGAGAGAATTCGGAACTTGAAATCTAAAAAGAAAAGAATGATAAAAAATAAATCAATAATGAATTTTTTAAAAAGAAAAGATCAGCCAGAAGGAAATCCCACCTCTCCCCATTCTATTCCCAGCCTTAACTGCCATTTGGGTTTACTCTGGGACCTGCTAGAGAAGAGGACAAGTCAGAGCAAGTCAATAAGCATTTATTAAGCACCTAGTATGTGCCAGGTAACTGCACTGTAAGCACTTCGATACAAAGAAAGGCCAAAAAAAAAAAAAGTCCGAAGTCCGGGCTCTCAAGGAACTCACAGTGTAATGAGAGGGAGATAATGTGCAAACAAGTATGCACAAATAAGATATTTGTACAGGATAAATTGGAGAGAATCTCAGAGGGGTTAAACAAATAACTCATACTGTGTTAGACCTCTGGGACTTCCCTGGGATGCTGCCCTCCCCATTCCTTATTTCATTCCCTCCTTTCTGTGCCAGGTAAGGACAACAGCCGAGCATAAATCCCATGCCTCCACTGGCTCCTTTCTGATCATTGCATTCCCAAACCTTGAAGAAGAGCATCCATTTCATAGGGTTTGAGGGTCATGTTTTTTATTTTAGATAGCATTATGGATCTAGAATTGGAAGGGACATTACAGGCCATTTAGCCCAAATCTATTATTTTGAAGGTAAGAAAACTGAAGCCAAATGCTACTAATGACTTGCCCAATGTTAGAGGTAGAATTTGAACCCAAAGCTAGTGGTCTCTCCACTGTACTTTGCTGCCTCCATAGCTAACACTTGATTAAATACTTTGTGTCAAGGAGAAGGTCAGAAATTTGACAAAGGATTCAGCCTGACAGACCTACAGAGAACATTGATGTTAGTGTTTAGGTGAGACTTTTCTCGGCATTGGCCTATTGCTATTTTGGTGGGCCTGTGCCATATTTCTCCCTTCCTATTCTCAGACCAAAATATTCTTAGCAGAGTAACAGATTGTTTAGACCAGGGCTTCTTAACCTTTTGTATGTTACAGATTCTTTTTGGCAGTGTGAGGACAGGCAGGACCTTCCTCAGAATAATGTTTTTAAGTGAATAAAATTTCAAAGGAAAATTGGTGTACAGTTATCAAAATATTTTCTTAAGTAAGTTCATAGGCCACAACGTAGACAGTTGTAGGGTTGGCATAGCCCAGCATGGGCTCCAGAGTCAGATGACCTTGGTTAAAATTCAGCTTTGGACATTACCCTTGTGACCTCAGGCAAGACACTTAACCTCCGTAGAGCTCCCATAAAATGAGGGAGTCAGACCACATGGCCTCAGATCCTTTGTAATTGCTCTCTCAGCCTCAGTTTCTTCATCTGAAAAAAAAAAAGATTGGATTTGATGATCTCTAGAGTTCCTTCTCCTCTAGAAGTATGAGTTTTGAAACCTGAAAAGAGGGGACTCTATACTTTTAAAAAATGGAATCCCCAAATGACATTTCTTAATCAATTAAGGTCACTTAAAAATATGTAGCAGCTAGTGAATTTTTGTTGTTGTTGTTGTTGGGAGGTGAGGAGGAAATGGTCTGGACCTCAGATTTCATCTGTGTAGGGAACTCCAAGGTGGAAGCTCTTTGCATCAATGAAGATCAGCAAGTAAGCGTCTCAGAGAGTTGCCTGAGGCCCCCTCTCCTTTATCTGCCATGTTGTGCTGCCTCTCAGAGCTGAGTACAGCTAGGAATAAGCAGAGACTATAGTCAAAGAACCAAAATTCTTCTCTTTTAGGGCGCTTTTTATTTTAACAATGGCAAGAGCACCACCCTGTGGTCGTAGTTAAAATAACAATTACTTGTACTGTGTATGTGTTGTGCACAGCTAACTCAGCTCACCACAAGAGCAAGGATCCTATACTAACCTTCTGTCTTGAATGTGCGTTGATGAGGCGGGAGACAAGATGGAAGCAACTCCCTTTAATTTTAACAAAGCATTCACTTAAGCAGTAAGGTAACAGGAACTTCTTCTAGGGTTACAATGAGGTAGAACTCATGCTGTGCTAAGGACAGTGCATGCACGTCCTGTGCACTTATCTGACTCCAATCACAGATAAGTTGCTAATGACCGTACAATAACTAGGGAGTTAAAGATTGTTAAAGATCCATAGAATGGAGCACCTAACCAGACGACCTTTGCTCATGGATCAGTCACCTGAGAGGGGCCTCCGCCCATCAGCGAGACCTCATGAACAGCCTGTGGCCCTCTACATCCTTACAGATCCCCAACATGTACACAATTATAAGTAATTTTACATAGCACATTTATATTGTACTATGTGTATTTCGCTCAGTGGGTCAAATTATTTTCCCCTATAAATCTTAATCCCAGGCATGACAACACACACACACACACACCACACACACACACACACACACACACACAGAAGTATCTATGCTCTCATCAAAATGGGTGTTTTTCCAACCATGCTACATATCAAGACTCATCCATCTTACATTCACCCTGTGTGCGGGTTACCTTTCTTCAGCTCTTGTGACATGGCATCTATTCCAATGGAGTACTTGAATTGTACTTTAGTTATCTTCTCTCTCCCCTACAAAATGATGATGACAACAACAATAATAGTTAGCAGTGATGTCACACTTTAAGGTTTGCAAAATGCTTTACAAATATTACATGATTTTATCCTTACAGCAACCCTAAGGGGTAGGTGCCATTATTATACCTATTTTAAGATGAGGACACTGAGGCAGACAGGGTTTGAGTCATGTGCCCAATGTTTGAGGTATATTTGAACTCACCTCTTCTTGACTCTGTGTCCATTATTCTTTCTACTATACCACCTGCATTAGGGGATTATTCAATACTTCAAAGTGGTGAGAAAAATTGCCTTTGTTTATTACCATTTTAAAGTGTTACTCTGTTTAAATTAAGAAAAATACATTATTGTATGTGTCACATTGTTAATTTCAAGGAGAAAAGCTAAAACTCACCATTGGAATAGCTAAAAATTCTGGTTTATCTCTGTGTGGATATATCCTTAACTTCTGCTTTTGAATATGTGTTGGTACCATAATCTTGGACTTAGCCACTGATTAGTGATTATAGTGATTATACACCTTTGGTTCAGATTCTAGATTAGCTATTCTCTTATATTTTTTCAGCAACAAATTATTTTGATAATTACCTACTTTATAGTGTAATTTGAAATAAATCTGGTGATGCATGTCTCCTTTCCTCATTTCTCCCCCATAATTTCCCTCAAACATTCTTGTCTACTTGTTCTTTCTTTTTTAAGATTTTATTTACCTGATTTTTAATTTATGAAATAAAATAAGCATTTCCATAACATAGTAGAATAGAAAAAGAGGATTATATGTGCAACTGCAAATCTATCATGTATAACTTGCTATTCCTTTTAAATTCATAATAAAGTTATCTTGAAATTTTCTTTTTTTTTCCCTTTTTTTTCTTCCCTCTCCTCCCCCAGAGATGGCCACCATTGGACAGAAATATGTGTGTGTGTGTGTGTGTGTAAACTCATTCTAAATATACTTCTATTTATCAGTTCTTTCTCTGGATACAGATAGTGTCTTCCTTCATAGGTCCTTTGTAGTTAATTTGGGTATTTATAACAATCAAAATGACTTAGTCACTCAGAGTTGTCCTTAAAGCAATGTCACTGTTACTGTATACAGTGTTCTCTTGGTTTTGCTCATTTTGCTCTCTATGAAGTTCTCCTATGGTATGCTATTAATATTGCTTCAAATTACAAGTTAATTTGGGTCATATCGACATTTTACTATGCTGTTTCAATCCAGGCACAAATGGGATATTTCTTTAGTTATTTAATTCATTTTTTCTGTTAAAATTGTTTTTATAGTTATGTTCCTGTAGTTCTTATGCATGCCTTGATATGCTTAAGTACTCAATATATTTCATTAGTAATTATAAGTTGTGTTTATCTTTCTGTTAATCTCTCCTGGTTTCTTTTGGTGATGTATAATATGGCAGTGATGGGTGGGGGTATTACATTTTACACCCTGATGTCTTTCAGAAGTCTCGATTAACCCCCTTGTTGAATTTCTTGAGATTTTCTAATTAACTTTCCATCTTTACCAAACAGAGATAGCTTCTTTGATAATGCTTATTCCTTTCGTTTCTTTCTTTCTTACCTTATAGCTATAGCCAACATTCTTAAAACTATGTAGGATAATAATGGTGTCAGTGAACACTCTCTGTCTTTTTGGTGCACGTGTTTCTAATTTTCCATTGTATATGATACTAGCTAGGTCTTTATTTCAGATAGAGGGAGGATATTCATTATTCTAGTCCTTGTAGATGCAGGCTTCCTTTTGTTTTAGTGTAGATCTGTAATTGCGTTTGGTGCCTGGTACAGAGGAGGTGCAAAGTAAATATTCATTGACTGACTGAGCAGTACAGGGAACTCTTAGTAAGGAAGTTCACTCCTCTCACGTCTCTCGACAGCTCTCCTACAGTTCAGTTTTAAAGCATTGTCTCTAAGGCACTGAGAAGGTGACTTGCCTACAAGAGTCACATAATCCAGTATATTTAAGAAGCAGTTCTTGAACCTTTCTTTCTCTGACTCTGAGGCAAGCTTTTCACCGGTGGATTTCATCATACCACCTCTCTATGAAGTGGCAAACAAAGACAGAAAAGCAAAGATTAGTATAGAACAAAAAAAATTCCTAATAAAGTTACCACTTAAAAATGAGTCCTATTCCAGCATCCCTCCCTGATTAACACCATGATCCATTCTGCCATTGTTTTTGGTTATTTCTTGCTGGTTGTTACTCTGTGGGAAAACATTGATGAAACTCTCAAATATTTCTGTTTCACTGACCCTCTCAGTCATTTTCTTTTTCAGTCCTGTCTGATTCTTTATGACCTCATTTGGGGGTCAGTATCTCTTGACAGAGATATTGGAGTGGTTTGCCATTTTCTTCTCCAGCTCATTTTACAGATGATGAAACTGAGGCAAGCAGGGTTAAGTGATTTGCCCAGGGTCACATAACTAGTAAGTGTCTGAGGACAGATTTGAACTCAGGAATCTGAGTCTTCCTGACTCCAAGCCCAGCACTCTATCCACTGTGCCACCTAGCCACTGAACCCTCTCTATAATTGTGCTTTTAAGGTGTAACCTAAAGTGAATATCTGTTCACACATGCTTTGCTCATTGTAAGAGTATAAACTTGCAATTTAATGTATTTTATTAAGTGAGATGAAATGAAGTTTCCTAAGTTTTAGTTTTTCATGATTTAGTCTCAATAAAACCCTTTGTTCACTATTTACTCAAAAATCTTGGTCCAGGTTTTAAATAGATTCACTTTAATTGGCCTTTTTCTGGTAGCAGTCATCCTTGGAAAAGGTACATTTCCTGTAAATACAGAAGGCATTTTTAATTACATTAAGGGAAAAAAATCTTTCTATTCCTATAAATAGTTTCCAATATAAATGTATACTTATATTCTTATTAAAATATATGAAATGGGGGCAGCTAGGTGGCGCAGTGGATAGAGCACCAGCCCTGGACTCAGGAGAACCTGAGTTCAAATCTGGCCTCAGACACAAAACACTCACTAGCTGTGTGACCCTGGGCAAGTCACTTAACCCATTGCCTAGCCAAAAAAAACAAACAAAAAATAAAGTATATCGAACGATACAGTCATGTGACTTAAGAGTTTTTCTTATTGATAGGATTAATAATAGAACAGCACAATCCTTGAATTCGTGGTATAAATAGATGGACTGATCATTGATCACAATGAATGCATTTTAAAGTCACAACCTCCTTTTAAACCAGAAACAATCATGCCACCTAACAGCATTTGTGTGAGGATCAAATAGTGTACAAAGCATTTTATAAATTTTAAAGCACTATATTAAAGTGAGCTATTATTGAAACTTTCGGTTTTATTGGCATAGACCGGGGCACCTTTATCTCTTGCTTCATTTTGATCAGTCCCTTTTTCCAATTTTGATTTTGGTAATTTGATTTTTTTGTTCTCTGTTTTTCTGATTAAATTTGTGAATTGTCCATTTTATCAGTCTTTTCAAAAAGCTCTTCGTATATCAGTGCAGTTATGCTTTTGTTCTGTCTTGTTGATTTCTATTATTTTAACAGTTTCCTTCTTACTTGCTTTTGGCATAATGATTTGTTCATTTTAATTTACCTTCCAGAAGCAAAGTCTCTTTTACTGCAAACTCATTGTCAAGGTAATAACTTTCATTTTTACTAGCATCTGTATCTTTTCACATTAACCAAATTTTTCTTTAAACACAGAAATATGAAACCAGAGTAGGAGACAAAGGGACTCAGCTCTCCGGGGGTCAGAAACAGCGCGTTGCTATTGCTCGAGCCCTCATCAGAAACCCTCAGATCCTGCTGTTGGATGAAGCCACTTCAGCCCTGGACACAGAAAGTGAAAAGGTACGGGCTTACCATATTCATGCTCTGAGAGAGCCCACTTTCTTTTACTATGAACACTTGGTATAGTCACAATCATAGAGGTTGGAATGGTGGCATAAAGGAAACAGAAAGGAACATGCATTTGTCAAACACCTACTAAATGCCAGGAAGCATGCTGGGCATCTTGCTCTTTTCATCCTAACAATAATTCTGGGAGTTAGGTGCTATGCCTAACCCCATTTTACAATTGAAGGAACTAAGGTAGACAAGAAGTTAAGTGACTTTCCCATGACCGCCCAGTAAGTGTCTGGATTTGAACTCAGGTTTTCCTGACTCCAGACCCACTGTACCTCTTAGCTGCTTATAAAAGTTTGGTCTTGGAATCAGAAAGACTTTCTGCCTACAGCACATACTGCACCTACAATAACCCTGGGCTAGTTAACTTAAGGACTCAGTGCCCCATCCAGCTCTGTAAGACTATACAGCTGTGTCCCTGTTAGTGGGAATTAATAATCTCTCTGAAGTGGTCATGTTATTTAAATTTGAAGGACATATTTCCATTGGGCTAGAACCTATGACCCTATTCTTATATAATTATGACTTTGAATAGTGTGGATTTGAATATATGTGACCACTTTGGAAGATTCCTTATCCCAGCTAGTAGGGACCTAGATATGAGTTATAGATGTGTTACTGTTCTGCATTGATGAGGAAAGCGTTTACACCTGTGCCAGGAGTTCCCTCCACTGATGTTGTCAAAGGAATCTTCTTACCATTTAAAATGATCATTCAGTGGAACCAGGAAAATCAAAGGCTGAGAATCCATAGTACTGGTAACTAACTCCTTTTCTCCTTATACAGAGCACCTAATACCATTGCTTTAAGCATTGCACAATTTCTTCATTTCCTGTTTTCAGCTGTCATAGTCAAAACAGAGAGGATGAGACGGTCACAAAACCTGACTTCTGTCTATTTAGGACTTAGGATAGAACAATCACTTTTGTTATTGTTCTGTTATTGTTTTGTGTGGGACGGAAACCAAGTACCTGCAAATCTCTTGAGCTGTGTCCGAAATTTGCGAATAGCAAAGGATTATTCCAGTCTTTCAGAGAAGGCTCGCTAAGGCAGGCCAAAAGGCTTCCAAGGGCTTTGGTTTTTATATATGAAACACAACATGGTAGCACATGCAGAAAACAGATATTCTAGTAAATGTTTTTAATGGTGGAATGAGTTCAGTAAGAATGAGAAACAAGTATTAATCTGTATGCTATGGTTGCACGTGTATAACCTATATCAAATTGCTTATCGTCTCAGGGAGGGGAAAGGGGACAGAGGGAGGGAGAGGATTTGGAACTCAAAATTTAAAAAAATGTTAAAAATTCTTTTGATATATAACTGGGAAAAATAAAATATTCTTTAAGAATAAAAACAACAACAAAAAAAGGTATGCTAGTTGTAAAATGATCTCTTTGCCCACCCAGTTCTTAGCTTTGCAAAAACTGCCTTACATCTCACTGACACAAAACCATGAGCAAAACACATTTTTTAGGGAAATGAAATGGAAAGAATATTGAAGGAGAAGGAATTTCAAAGTTAGTATTGATTTTTCTCTTACAAATAACCATGTATGTAATTACTTAATAGATTGTCCAAGACGCCCTGGACAAGGCGAGAGAAGGTCGTACCTGTATTGTGATTGCTCACCGCCTCTCTACTATCCAGAATGCCGACCTTATCGTGGTATTCCAGAATGGCCGGGTCCAAGAACGAGGGACACACCAACAGCTGGTAGCCCAGAAAGGCATCTACTTTTCACTGGTCAACGTTCAGAGTGGGGCAAAGCGCATGTGAACTCCTTTCACTCCATGCATTTCATAAGTTAAGTATTTCCTGTATTTGTATTTTAAAATGGAATCATAGCCATAAACTTCTGCCGTAAGTGCCAGAAAGCAAGTCCTGTCAGCTGTCTCATCCCCTGCTGCAACTGGAACTCTGTCCATTCAGTGTCTCCAGAAGAGAAGAAACAACACTTAAGGAAGATGAACCAATGTCTCGTGCATTATGAAACTTAGGGAAGTATTGAGGCTATCTAGTTTTTTTTAATAACTGTCTAAGCAATTTTATTTTTATTTCTAGTCTCCTTCAGAAAGTAGCTGACTTTCCTTGCTTAAAAAAAAAGATGCTGTGACCAAAGGGTGGGGATTCCTGAAATAACTGTTCATAAAATATAAGAGCCTATAATAAAACCAGAATATTTCTTGTACTAGTATAACATTGTTCAAACCTAACCCTAAAACTCTAGATTGTGAAGTAGTTGGTTCAAAGTAAGAGACCCCTCCTCTGGCTTTTTCTCATACTGAGTCCTACAGAGCTGCACAACCTCGTTCGCTTTTGTACTTAACCCTGTTGTTTGTTACTCTTCACCTTCTGTTATTATGGCCCAGTAAGTGACAATGGGAAACAAAGCAAGATTCATTCATTTGTTTGGGGCCAGGAGAGAAGTGCTGAATCATGGGATTGAATCTTCCTTTGGCGTGTTGTTAATATTTTGCACTGCTGCTACAACATGTTGTTAAAGAATTCTATTATTTTTGAAAAATATAAACCTGCGTTATTGTTTTCATTTCAGGACTTCCCTTCTGTAGAATTAATTCCCTGCAATGTCAGCCCAAATCCACTGTGTAGAAGAATTCAGATTCTTTGAATTCAGATGTGTTCGATTACGAGATCCCCTCTCTCACATTGTGGTATTGTTAACCAGAAATCAGAGAGTAACAATATGCAAAAAAATAGCTAGTCTAGAACCCTCTCTTAATGAATGTTCCCTCAAGCATAATGTGATTCCCAAGTTGTACCGAGAACAACCCTGACTGGAATGAAGACTCCTCTTCTGTGATGCTGACAAGCCTCGAGATTATTAATTATGCTATGCCTCAGGGAGTGCTAGTAATATTTTGAAATGTGACCTATTAATGACTAAAGACTTCTTTATGTGAGAATAATTTTAAGGGGAAAAGTATAGCATTAAGATAATGCTCTACTGAAATTCTTTCACACAAACATGGGTGTTTGTATGACAACCAAGAGGGTGCCATGTGAAATATTCTAAGAGATGTTGATAGAACATCATAGGTGTTGTGTGTGCCATGACTGCCACATGTCAACGATTCTAGCAATACAAAGACCAAGACGACAGTGACATAGATCAGTTTTGTGAAGGCATGGCAAAATCCAGGAACAGTAGACGGGAGGGAGGCACCATGCTTCCCTCACATCCTGGCCTTCTGCCTAGTGGGTGAACTTACAGGGTTGGACCAGATGGTCTTTTGTATGTTAAGAGGGTTGATGTCCCAAGGGTCAAGGAGACAAAGTCGGGAGATGTCTATTTTTAACATCTATATCTCTTGGGTAATCCTCTTAAATAGTGAGTCATCAGCACTGTTGGTAACTGGAAACTTGACTGCTTAGTCTATGTTGAATACCTATTGTGTTTATAACTAGCTTCTCAGCATTGTGGCAGGCTCTATGGTAGATAGGAACAAAGTATGAAAGCTGGTCCTTGCCCAAGACACAATCTAGTTGAAGAGAAAATTAATATGTATAAAACAGCCCTGAACATAGAAGAAATTCTTAAATAGACACTGCTCTCAAGCCCTAAATGTGTAACATATAAAGATATTGTAGGAAAGGCACTTAATTTGCAGTCTGAAGACCTGAGCTCATATCATATCTCATGCTATGTATTAGCTACGTGACCTCTGAGTCTCAGATTTCTCGCTTGTAAAATGAAATATTTGGGGAAAAAAGTTTCTCTAAGATTACTTGGAGCTCTGTAAGTAAATATAAATATTTAAAATATGAATAATTGCTATCAATGTTCAAAGGAATTGTAGAGGAAGGGACCCATATAAAAAGGATACAGGACTGAGGGACTGGATATGAATGAGAAAAGAGAGTAAGTGAAAGATGATTTTGAAATGTTGAGAATGATGTGTCTGACAGTGAAGCTGGGAGGGAAGCTAGCTTTGGAAGGATGATAAGCTTGGTCTTCATACAGCAAGCAAGATATGCAAGTGGAAACTGAATTGAACATTTACAGATAAGAGACTGAAGTTCTGGGTGCCCACTAGGTAAAGAAATTATTGCTACAAAGTATAGTTGTAAAGTCTGTTTCTCATTCTAGGTTTTCCTCTTGCCTACTCCTTGCAAAGTTAAAATTTCCTGTTTCTGCCCAGCCTCTAATCCAAGTCTACCTGCCTACCTTTCTAAATAGTCTTGGACCTTGAAGAAAAGAGACTCCTTTTTTGGTCTCCTGGGGACAACGCCCATTTCTACCAACCAAGCTAGAGATGTTTCTCTGATTCCTACTCAAGTCCAGTAGTTTTATATGGATTTCTTGGCATATTCTTTCATCGTCTCTTGTTGCTTACATGTCTTCCTTCCCTAGATGCTTAGATGCCAAGCTTGGCATCTTCCAGGCAATCTGAGGCTTTCACACATTGATATTTATACAACCCTGCCTTTTATATAGGATCTATATAAAATGTCTCATTTCCAGTTTACATATAGGTGGGTAATGGGAGTGCATTCATAATCTAAATTAACCTCAGCTAGTGTTCTCTTGGTGATTAGGCATGGAGCACTGTTTAAAACACCACGCAGAACACACAGGGAGGGGAGGGGGGCCGGAGGGTGGAAGGAAGGAGAGGAAATCTACTGGTTGCTTTTCTTTTTTTTCTCTATAGAAGCTTTTATCTTTTCTAGGCAAATGGTGCTGAATAACAGAGGACAGAAGATCTTTTAGACTAAGAGAACCAGTTTTTTGATTAATTTATTTTGGTTTATCAACAGTCACTTTCATAAGCTTT